TCACGCCATCCTCCTGCCTCAGCCTCCCGAGTAGCTGGGACTACAGGCGCCCGCCACCTCGCCCGGCTAGTTTTTTGTATTTTTTTTTTTAGTAGAGACGGGGTTTCACCGTGTTAGCCAGGATGGTCTCGATCTCCTGACCTCGTGATCCATCCGCCTCGGCCTCCCAAAGTGCCGGGATTACAGGCGTGAGCCACTGTGTCCGGCCCAGATTTCTTTTTCAATGAGTGGCCCCAAACAGAAGCCATTTGCACACAGGTAAGCTAGAAAGCTAGGAGGGTACATTTTGAACCTGAGCAAGTGATCTCATTTCTCCTCCTCTTTTTTGAGGAGAAGAAATATATGAGGGAATTAAGGTGGGCGTGCATTCCTTGGGAAAGGAGCAAGCATGAAAGAGGTGTTGAGAGTTCCAGTTAGTAACATGTGAGGGCCCGCTCTGCGCCAGGCACTGTGGGAAGTGCAGCGATGGATGAGCCGTGGTCCTTGTCTTCAAGGAGAGCGTGGGGGAGCCAGGAAATTCCAGGTGCACAAAATCTCCTAGATAAATACTGAAGGACACATAAGTCCTGTGACCCAAGCGAAGTAACTGTTACTTAGCCAAAGTCAAACTTCGGGCAAATCACTTAAATCTCTACTTTTCACCTATAAAATGGTGTAATTCTTGCCTTGCTTACCCCATCAGGTTATAGAGTTATAAGGATCAAAGCTACTACAATAAAATAACAATGAGAAGGAGGGGAAGGAGGAGGAGGGAGAGGACGAGGAGGAGGAGACAAGGCTTTCTTGACCTTGCTGACCTACAGACCTGTGACTGGTGCCCAAGGACGAACTCCGCTGTGGATGGCAGCCAGGACCAGGGCACGTTCCTGATGCACATGGCTGTCCACTCCCAGCCAGTCCTGGAGCACTGGTGCCCTGTGCCCTCTTTCCCAAAGCTGGTTCCCCTGGGCACCTTGTCACAGGCCCAGTAGCTGCCTTGACATGAGCAACCTCTCTGACTCGTTCAAATTCGCCTGACAGATGGTGAAGGTGCTTAGTCCTAGTATTCTTAATAAATATCAGAGCTTAAGAGCCAGAAGGAAGCTTCCAGAACGTAGCATCCACACACATCCCGTCCCCACCACCACCCCCACCATTTGTACGAAGGGCAATGGAGGCTCCAGCAGGGAACATAACCCACTGAGGTACTGGGACAGCTGATGCTGGAATCTCATTCTCTGGACTCCCCTGGTCCAACATAGCTGCTTCTCTTTCCAAGAAAGGTTTTTCCAACACCAACTCTACTGCCTTTAATATCCTTAGTCTTTCCTGCCCCCAAATACCTCATTTGGTCCTAACTTCCAATAAAGTGTATTTAGGGCAAGAGAAAAAGGAAACATTCCCCAAGTCACATTTTCCCAAGCCCTCTGTTCTTTTTCATTCTTCGGGAAAGTGATTCCTAAATGCCCATGAGGGCATGTGACCCTACTAATAATATGGGTTCACAGAGACGAAGATGAGGGGTTCCTATCTTCACGAGGCTCTTGTTTAGTTAGCAGTAAAGTGCCCTCTTGATGAAAGGTTTTTGAACCCCCGCTACAGGAAAAGAAAACCCTTCCAATCCAGTTCCCATTAGTCATGTGTGCAAAGAGAAAGCTTCTCATTGCTACATCTCTTTGCTTTGAGTTTTTTGCATTCATGCCTGGCTGGCAGCTTCCGCCCTGCTGGCTGTGGGCCCAGGCAGTATTGAGAGCACAGGAAAGGCTGACAGCCTCACTTAGGGAGTCTTACCCTGCGCTGTGTCTCTTCCTGACCCCGGGGGTCTACATGAGGTCTCATGGTTGCTTCACTCTGCTCCCTGCTGCCCCTAAAGTATTCGGTTTGCCCCCCAGCTGAACGGTTGTCTTACTCCAGTTTGGCCCGGAGTGCCTGCTTTGATATCCTCCAGACTCCCTCTTCCCTAGTCACCATCTTGGTGTAGTTGAGTTACTTTGAGGCCTTGAAAATAAGAAGAGTATAGCTCAGTGGAGACTCTGGTATCCCAAGTGAGAAGACTGGTGTCCAGTGAAAGGTTGGACTGGAGAGTCTGCCATTCCGTCATGCTGTAACATTTCTGAAAATGCATAGCCTAAGGTTGACAGCCGGAAAAATCAGTAGGGTTCCGATGTGTGTGTCCGGACCTAGAAGTAAGAACTAAGCCTGGGACCAACGCCTCATAGCATTTTAAACGAACCTGGGTACCAGCTGTCGCTTCTGATTCTTCCCACTCTCAGATAAAGTCCCCTAGTTAGAGAGCACGGCGCAGGGGTTGGGGTTCTGCGGGGCCAATGTAACATTTACACTCTTGTGAGACAGTGTGGTGGTCTACGGAAGAATTCCAGAAGACATGGTGTTCCTTTCCCCTTTTCTCCATTTACCCACCTTCCTTGTGTCAAAATACTGATGAACGGACCCCAGATGGCAAAGCTTGATCCCCAACTCTGATAGAGCCCACAGGACACCCTGGGTCTACCCTAACAAGCCATGACTTGCCAATTATTTGCTTTTCTGGAGAAACCTTGGCCAGAAAGTCTGTTTAATTACCATGGAGATAATCTTTTAAACATAGATTTACATTCTTTAAAGACTTTTTCCCTGTGGGAGTAGGAAAGTTCATCTGCACGTAGCATGTTTATTTTTATTTCCAGGGGAGGAACTGTTTTCTAGTAGTTAGCAAGAAGTTTGAGCCCTGGAGGAATTTCTTTTTTTAAAGTCTGTTCCTCTTCGCTGATAGTGCGTTAATTATATTGTAATAATTAGTTTACAGTGTGGTCATATTTTTTTCCAGCTTAAACTCCGTACTTCACTCTGCAATTCCAGGCCTATAATTATTTAACATTTGTCAAGCATCCCTATCAGATTGGGTTCTATAGTTACTCTAAATGTGGGTATCAAGAGTCAATGTCCTCAGGGGTTTCTCATCAGGAAGGTCACACTTGCAAAGCCAGCAGCCACAAAGACCTATTTAGGTTGGTGCAAAAGCAATTGCGGTTTTTGCATGAAAGTAATGGCAAAAACCGCAATTATTTTTGCACCAACTTAATACTTGGCGCTGTGGTCAGTGAGACACTAATTTTTCCCACCTGGGGTGGCCCTGCAGGTTTGCTAAATTCTTCCCCGCTAGAACGCCAGCTTGGATGAGTAGGGATTCTATTGTATTCAACCTGGCAGGCCCAAGACCCAGAGCAATTCCTGGCTCATAATAGGTGCTGACTAAGCAGATGCTGAATTACTGAAAGTCAACAGGTCTTGATGTGTGTGTCCAATAGGAACAATGGACAAAATAAAGCAGAGTTTGGTGGGCTCCTGGCTCTGGCCTGGGCAGCCCTAGTCCTTCTTTCCCCACATCATTTAAGAGCAGGTGGTCCTGAGTGGTTGCTGGACCTGATTCTGGAGGCCGAGACTCTGGGCCTTGAAGATTTACCTCTGGGGATTCAGAAAAGAGGAGAAAAGGAGTAATTGTGTTGAAGAGAGAATTAGAAGATAAGGAAAATCCCTTTGTGAGAAACTCTAAATCTTGAGCATGGATCTCTGTGTCCAGGTCCTGATGGGGAGAACAGCTGGTCCAAGAAGTACCCGTCCTGTGGGGGCCTGCTGCAGTCCCCCATAGACCTGCACAGTGACATCCTCCAGTATGACGCCAGCCTTACGCCCCTCGAGTTCCAAGGCTACAATCTGTCTGCCAACGAGCAGTTTCTCCTGACCAACAATGGCCATTCAGGTGAGGGTGAGGCCTTGGAGACCTGAGGAGTATGTCTGGGTCTCCCTGGCTGTCAGGCCTGTCCTTTTCCATCTGGCAGGGAAGGGTTCTGCAGAAGCATCCAGGAGGAGGGATGGGGCCGGGGCGCCTTTGAGAGATTCCAGGAGCACTCTCTCCAGGGAATGTTGGAGGCCCTGGGCTCTGATGGTCCTGCCAGGGCTGCACTTCCCAGAAGAAGCACATCTCTCAGGATAGGGCAGGAGACAGACCTGAGCCCCATGGTTCATTGGCTGTGCGGCTGGAGTGAATTCTGGACCATCATAAATGACTCAACGAACCACACAGTTTAGGAGGGGCACCCAGGCCTTAGAGTCAGACCAACCTGGATTTGAACCCTGGCTTGACTGCTTATGAGCCATGAGCCTCTAGGTGAGAATTTTAGCCTCCTTGAACTTCCATCTGGAAATGGACATATTAATGGGTACCATGAAGACTGCAGATTATGTATGTTGGGGTCTGACACGTGGAGTGAAGTAAATGCTTCATAAATAGCAGTTATCATTGTTGTTGTATAATTCTAAAGCTCGGAAGGTACTTCACTAAAGGTTCCAGGTGTCTGATCCATCAATATGTAAATAAACACCCATCCGTTGATCTAGTGTTAGTGTTTCTGGCATCATTTTCCAGGGGGAACCAAGAAGGTGCGGGTGCCACTGGAGTTGCTTTGGGGAAAAGGGGACATTGTCAGGGAAAGAGCCCAGGTGTCTGACCTTTAGGCTGCATCTCTGCTCTGCACCTCACTCCATTCACCTGCCTCTCTCTGGGCTCCAGGGGCTGGCAGCGGGGGTGGAGGGAGTGTTGCCTACCTGACTGCTCTCTGGCAGTGCACAGCTGGCCGGGGCTCTGAAGGCTGCTCCTCCATTCCCCGCAGTGAAGCTGAACCTGCCCTCGGACATGCACATCCAGGGCCTCCAGTCTCGCTACAGTGCCACACAGCTGCACCTGCACTGGGGGAACCCGAATGACCCGCACGGCTCTGAGCACACTGTCAGCGGACAGCACTTCGCCGCCGAGGTAAGTAGGGCTGCCAGTCTGGCAGAGGCTGCTCTGCAGTGGGTGGTGTGGCACCCTCTCGACCTGGCTGCTGTGCAGATAACACCAGAGCCTGGGACAGGCTGCCTTCAGGCTATCTGCCCCATCTTTGGCCCTGGCACAGGGGGTGCAGCCACGCCAGCCTGCAGCTCATCTGCACTGTCCTGGTCCCTTTCTTCTCCGGAACATGCTGAGTTTGTCCCTGTGTCTTTTACTGAGTGATGCTGCTGGGGAGGCAGTATTCCCAGGGTGGCCCAGCGGGACACACATGCCCTTCTTTTAGACATTGCCTTCCTATCTGTGCAGATGAAAATCTCCTGCTGACTCACACTGGGCTCATTGCTCCCCCAAACTTCTCAGCCTTTCTTCATATGTCATGTTGTTCGCATCTTTTTGATGCTATCTTTCCGTTCTCTCGGCACGGGTTGAGTTTAGAACATGGGGGCATGGGTCTAGGGCCACTCTTCTACCTGGCCACAAGTCTAGGGGTGCCTGACAGTCTAATGTGTTGGGCATGATGGCAAGCAGACTCACTAGGGACAAGATGCCACCCAGCACAGCATCGTGTCATGTCGCCTTGAGGTGCTACCCCAAAATGCCAAAAGAAAATTAGCAGAAGGGCAGAGCGTTTGCCCTGTGCAATTGTAGGATGGGGTGGGGCAAGGAGGGGGTTGAGATGCTCACTTTGGAACTCCAATAGCCCTGAACTGGGGGTGTGGCTCTGAATATTTACAGGGAAATACAAGGAGATAAATGCTGCTGACTGATCAGCCAGGGGAGTCCATGGCCAATAGCGACTATTCCCCTCCGTTCATAACTGCTGAACTGCTTAATGTGTCAGGCTAATCATAGGTCTACTTGCAAGCATGGAAGGGATTGGATCTGGCTCAAAAGGATGGCACCACTGGAGGTTCACATATTTCAGAGCAGGCCCTTCCCTGAAGCTCAAGAACTGAAATTTCCTCCAGGCTAATTGCAGTGTTGAGACTTCTGCTTCCCCCATGGGGAATAAAGAAGGTGTAAACCAAAAAGTGTCTGAGACTCAATCCATTTAGAAGTTTATTTTGCCAAGGTTAAGGACGCATGCCTGGGAAACAGGGGCACAAGTCTGTGCCTTTCGCCAAAGATGATCTTGAGGGCTTCAATATTTAAAGGGGAAAGGGCAGATACTGGGGAAAGACGGAGAAATGTTTAAAAGGTGTGGGGAGGTAAAAGGCAAGAGGTCGCAGTCTTCTGAGTTTTTGATCGGCCATTCACATGTGAGACGGGGTAGAGGAATAGTCACTTGTGCATTCATGTAGCTCAGCGAATCTGCCTTCTTACAAGATGAAATAGACATGGGCAGAGGAAGCAATTAGATATGCATTTGTCTCAGGTGAGCAGAGGGATGACTTTGAGTTCTGTCCTTTGTCCTGAACCCGTGAAGATAAGTTACCCATTGACACTGTCAGGGTGAAATTCAACAGAACTGCTTTCGGGTAAAGACCTTGCGGCCCACAGTGAATTTCCTAGTGGGCAAAATGTGAGATGTGTAGCTTTTTTTTATCTTTGTAGCCATCTTATTTAGGAATAGAATGAGAGGCAGGTTTGCCTGATGCAGCTCCCAGCTTGACTTTTCCCTTTGGCTTAGTGATTTGGGGGTCTCGAGATTTATTTTCCTTTCACGAAGGAGGTTAGGGTGTAGATTGGCAGGGTTTATGTATTTAAAAATATTTCCTTTTTTTTTTTTTGAGACGGAGTCTCGCTCTGTGGCCCAGGCTGGAGTGCAGTGGCGCGATCTCGGCTCACTGCAAGCTCCACCTCCTTGGTTGATGTCATTCTCCTGCCTCAGCCTCCCGAGTAGCTGGGAGTACAGGTGCCTGCCACCACGCCCAGCTAATTTTTTGTATTTTTTAGTAGAGACGGGGTTTCACTGTGTTCGCCAGGATGGTCTCGATCTTCTGACCTCGTGATTCACCCGCCTCGGCTCCCAGAGTGCTGGGATTACAGGCGTGAGGCACTGCTCGCAGCCTAAAAATATTTCTTCTTCTTGTATTTTCTGCTCTTAAGTCACATCATCAGACCAAGGGTCTGGTTAAGATGAACCATAAATGCCAATACTAGAGAAAAGACATCAAGGTGTCCCTCAGGTGGGTCCTCTAAGGAAGGACCTTGAAAGTGTAGTGGTTCTTTTGGATGGAGTCCATAGAAGAAGATTCTGGCAGGGCACGGTGGCTCACGCCTATAATCCCAGCACTTTTGGAGGCTAAGGTGGGTGAATCACCTGAGATTGGGGGTTCGAGACCAGCCTGACCAACATGGTGAAACCCCATCTCTACTAAAAATGCAAAATTAGCCAGGCTTGGTGGCACATGCCTGTAATCCTAGCTACTCGGGAGGCTGAGTCAGGAGAATCGCTTGAACCTGGGAGGCGGAGGTTGCGGTGAGTTGAGATCATGCCATTGCACTCCAGCCTGGGCAGCAAGAGCGAAACTCCAACTCAAAAAAAAAAAAAAAAAAAAAGAAAGAGATTCTTTCTATCTTAATCTCCTCAACAGGGAGCTCCTTTATGCTTGGATTAGTCTTCACTTCCTCTGAACACAGTAAGAAAAGTACAGACAAACCACAAGCTGAAAGGTCAGCTGTAAAAGGAAATAGGGACTTAGGACCTCAGAGGTTTTAATCATATAGAATTCAGCTCTGTTTCTCAAAGTGATGCCAGGCTGAGATGGTGTGGGCAGTGTGGCAGACTAAGTCCTTTGAGGGGAAGATGGTGAAGCAGGAGCTCTTAAGAAATCCTTAGTAGAGGACCACTTAAAAGAAGAAATAATTTGATATATAATTTTTTTTAAATTAGAAGGAGCCACTTAAAGTTCAAAATGGGGGAATTAAGCTGTATTCAATAATATATGTTGAATTATATTTATAAACACATGAGATGGAAAAGGATGAATGAAAAGAGAAAAGAAATAGAGATAAAATCTCCATATGTCATAGTCTCAAGGACAAAAAACCAACAAAAATGCGTGGGTTGTGTAAACCAAAAATAAATTCTAAGCCCCCCACCCCACCTCCCTGCCATCTGAATGGACCCCTCCTCTTGGCCAACGGCATTCCAAAGTTAACATGAAAACTAGTTCAGGCCATGCTGGGAAGAGGGAGTTGGACATGACCCATTATACCCTCCTCCCTTTTAATTCAGGAAAAGCCCACCTTCATTAACATCAACACAGACCTTAGGTCTGATCAGAAATATTTACAGTCTATTCTCTCTGAAGCCTGCTACGTGGAGGCTTCATCTGCATGATAAAATCTTGTTCTCTACAACCCGTTATTGGAACCCAGACATTCCTTTCTATTGATAACTCTCAGCTGATTGCCAGTCAGAAAGAAGTTAAATCTACCTGTGTCCTGGAAGCCGCCATTTTGAGTTGTCCTGCCCTTCTAGATCAAACCAGTGTATCTTTTTTTTTTTTTTTTTTTTTGAGACGGAGTCTCGCTCTGTCGCCCAGGCTGGAGCTGGAGGGCAGTGGCATGATCTCGGCTCACTGCAAGCTCTGCCTCCTGGGTTCACGCCATTCTCCTGCCTCAGCCTCCCAAGTAGCTGGGACTACAGGCGCCCACCACCACACCCGGCTAATTTTTTGCATTTTTAGTAGAGACGGGGTTTCACCGTGTTAGCCAGGATGGTCTCGATCTCCTGACCTCGTGATCCACCCGTCTCGGCCTCCCAAAGTGCTGGAATTACAGGCGTGAGCCACCGCGCCCGGCAAACCAGTGTATCTTGCACGTATTGATTGATGTATTATGTCTCTAAAATGTATCAAAACAAGCCGTGCCCTGACCACCTTGGGCACATGTCCTTATCCTTGGCAAAATAAGGGGAGGGTCTGAGATACCTAACCTAGTCTGGGGGGCTGTGGGGGCTGGGGTTCTGTCCTCACAGCTGGATTCAAGTCTTCTGCAGAAGCGACAGGCTCCCATGAGTCACTTATCCCCTAATGGGTGGCTTCTCCCCTACTGCAGCTGCACATTGTCCATTATAACTCAGACCTTTATCCTGACGCCAGCACTGCTAGCAACAAGTCAGAAGGCCTCGCTGTCCTAGCTGTTCTCATTGAGGTAAGAGCTATTTAAAAAGTTCTCAGGTGAAATTTGAAGCAGGGATGAGACTGGGATTCTGCCTTTTGTTCCATGCATACCTGTTGACAATCAGCTGTTCCTGTATCGGCTCTGTGTCAACTCCAGAGCAGGGGGTATCCTCCTGTAGTGCACCTTTTCTCTTGGCCTGGAGGCAGCACCTTCTGTGCCTGGGCAGCAGAAATGGGGAATGTTCTTTGGTCCATTGGAAACACGGGCCCCAACGTCTAGCTCTGTTGCATAAGGCATGGAATTGCCTGGTTGGGGAGCACCGGTGCTGGAAAAGGGTCATGATACTCCATCTGACCCATCAGATGCCTGAACTCTTGATACAACTCCTGCTATCCAAGCTCCATCCTCTAGATCAGCAGTCCCCAATCTTTTTGGCACCAGGGACCAGTTTCATAGAAGACATTTTTTCCACGGACCAGGGAGCAGGGAGGGAGATGGTTTTGGGATGAAACTGTTCCACCTCAGATCATCAAGCATTAGTTAGATTCCACAAGGAACACACAGCCTAGATCCCTTGCATGCGCAGTTCACAGTAGAGTTTGTGCTCCTATGAGAATGGGAGGCCTCTGCTGATTTGACAGGGGGCAGAGCTCAGGCTATAATGCTTGCTTGCCCGCTGCTCACCTCCTGCCGTGCGGCCCAGTTCCTAACAGGCCGCAGACTGGTACTGGTCCACAGCCTGGCGGTTGGGGACCCCTGCTCTATATGGACCCTGGAATGAATTCTTTGTTTATCCCAAGAAACAGGAATGTCTTCTGATTGACTTGCATGTTTTTTGTCCGAATGAGGCAGCATGTACCTCATTTCCCACATGCTCATTGGTCTGACGTGGCTTTTGTGAACTCAGAGCTCCTTAAGTTCTGGGTGACATGGATGTTAGTCGCAGACTTCAGGCTCACCTCTGGATCATCAAGAGCACACACTGTACCCCATATCCCAGGACATTCAAGCCCAATGCCTTAAGCTGAAAACAGGACATCCTGAGATGCAAGAAGGCAGGACCATTACACTAACTCCCAAGAGCCTAGTGATCCATCCTAATTGTCCAGTAAAGTGGATCCTTCAGGCAGTGGTGGCAACATACCCACAGCCTTGCCCGTCAATCCCGCTCAGCCTATCCTGTTCTGTCCCAGTGTAACCTGCCCTGTCTCTGTTGCAGATGGGCCCCTTCAATCCGTCCTATGACAAGATCTTCAGTCACCTTCAACATGTAAAGTACAAAGGTGAGGGGTCCTTGCGTGCATATTCATTCTCTGCTGGAGAAGGAGGTAGTCAGCCCTGGGTGACTTTAAGAAAAACAAATGCAAGGGGCAGGAGTTGTCTATGTTCACCAGGTTAAGAGGAGCAGGTTGTTGAATGATGTTGCAACCAGGTCCTGGGGTTAGATGACCCTGAAAGGGGCTAGTTCATGTTTCTAGGCTCAGTCACCCTGTTCAGCTGCACTTGTGCCCTAGGGAGGGAGACTGACAGCATCACCTCTGCAACGTGTCTCTCTAGGTCAGGAAGCATTCATTCCGGGATTCAACATTGAAGAGCTGCTTCCGGAGAGGACGGCTGAATATTACCGCTACCGGGGGTCCCTGACCACGCCCCCTTGCAACCCTACTGTGGTCTGGACAGTTTTCCGAAACCCCGTGCAGATTTCCCAGGAGCAGGTAACTGTCGTGCCAAACTCAGCCAGAGTCCACACGGCACCTCAGTCCCCGTCATCCCCCATATCATAATCAACGACTTGATTTCCTCACTTAGTTTCATTGGCAGCTCTTCAAAACCTCTCCAAATATCACAGTTGTCTGAAAGCACTGCCGAAATTCCAGGCTGAGATTCAAAAGAAGTCAGGCTAGGCAAATGAATACATGTCTCCTTGTTCTTTTTAAAAAAGAGCTATAAAGCTGCATTTGCTAATATATCCTCAGTGGCTGAGGTGGCATTCTCTTCCCAGGCAGGAGAGAGTCTGGTTCCTTTACAGGGTAGACTAAAGACAGGATCAGATGAAATCATTTAACAAATGGGATTGCAGCAATGACTAAGTGAGGGTCCCTGCCCCCCAAGAAGCTCAAGGTCTAATGCAAACTGGGGAACAAAATCCTTAGCCATCGTCGCTAAAGCTTCTTCTTTGATAGGAGATGGGAGAGAAGAGTAGAAGTTTGTGGGATGACCTGCGGGTTAGTGACAAAGCTGAGCCCCAAAGTTAGGTCATCTGAGTTCCATGTCACTGCTCGTACCTGTACTCCACAACCTAAATTCATGAGAAGAAAAATGGCTCCCCAGGAGACGGGGCTGGGGCCAGCACTGCATCCTGGCTCACAGCCCCACCCCAGCTTCATGCGGCCAAGGCAGCCTCACAGCTGTTTCTTTCCTTTACAATCAGCTTCTGCTCTGACTCACCTGGTAAATGGCAGCAGGTGGGTGGACAGGAATGGGGACGTGATGAACCAAGAGATGGATGAAACATGTGGGGAAGCAGCAACATCCTACCCCAGAAACTGCCTTGGGAACGGGTTATGTAATCTATGCAGGTGCATGAAAATGCCATGGAACCTGTAGTCAGATGACCTCTGAAATGCTTACCTCCTTCCTTTATTCCTTCTGATGTGACCATCAGAACAAGCCCTGCGACCCTCTGGTTGAGAGCTGGGCTCTAATTTAAGTTCATGAGAGGAACGCGGTCTCCGTGGGAGGCTAAGGAGCACTCCATCACCCCGGCTTTCCCTCCATGCAGGGCAGATTCCGGGTATAAGTGGGAACTAACAGCACTGCCCTTCCCTGGAGTCTCGGGTGCTGGGAAGACAAACCCAGCGCTGCGCAGCTCCCAGTCACCCACTGTGGAGGGAAGCAGTTGTCCGGCTTTCCCGCTGCTTTCTAATATCTCCCACCCAGCCCCACAGAAGCTGATTCCCGAGGCTTCTTCCAGGTGCAAGAGGTGAGAGCTAGCCTCTTCCCAGGGGGTCAGGCGAGGAGGTCATTCTGCCTGCGGGCTATTTCTGCTCTTGTCCTCAGCTGCTGGCTTTGGAGACAGCCCTCTACTGCACACACATGGACGACCCTTCCCCCAGAGAAATGATCAACAATTTCCGGCAGGTCCAGAAGTTCGATGAGAGGCTGGTATACACCTCCTTCTCTCAAGGTGAGGAGAGGTAGTGCCGGGGGAGGGGGTGCGGGAGTGTGGTGCCAAGACATTGGACTCTTCTGTGTGAATTCAGCTCTGGCACTGATGCCCTCTAGAAGTTGGCTGAGAGCTCCCTGGCTGCCACGGGAGCCAGGTGCCTTGTGAGACTAGGTGCGGGGCTCACTGGGGTCCCCCTTCACTGAGTCTTTGCAGAGAAGCAAAAAGCCGTGGCCCCCAGGCAGATGGACTAGAGCCCTCTTTAAGCCTGGGAGTCTTGCACAGATGGGGAAGAGAGAATTCCTTGGGGACTTCTCTGTTCCAGACAATGATCCCTTCTCCTAAGACACAGGATAGGACCCTTTCCATGAGATCAGACTTCTAACTTCCCTCCCTAGGCTTTCTTGGCATCAAAGGCTGCAGCCAGCCTATCTTAGGCCTGGCCGGGTGATTCGCACACCACCACCGAATGAGCAGGAATGTTCCTATGTTAGAGGTAAAACAGTGGGTGTAACCAACATCCATGACTAATGTAGCAGGGCCCGTTAGGCAAGGAAGCACCCTTGTGTACTGCATTTTTGTCTAACCTCCTTGCAGCTTGCATAAACACAAGCACATAAGTTCCCAATTGAACAAAGCTTAATAGCTTGGTTTCTTCCTAATGCTACGAGGCTCAGGTCTCCCTTTTACAGCTGTAACCAATAACTCCCGAGTAGGACGTTAACCTTTTTCCTTGCTCAGTTCCTACATCAACACTGCTGGAAACTGGGTGTCAGGGGAAAGGGGTGAGGGAGCACTCTCTTCAGATCTCTGAGTTCACTTTCAGGCTCACTTTCTTACTGTAGATTCTCAACTGGTTCCCAACTTGGGAATCTTCATGGCTGGTCTGTGCAGTTCCATTTAATCCCCAGCATCACGTGTGGCCCAAACAGGGCCAGGTGTTCATATTTAAAGATAACCCGTTCACACCTGCAATCCCAGCACTTTGGGAGGCCAAGGCAAGTGGATCACCTGAGGTCAGGAGTTCAAGTCCAGCCTGACCAACATGGTGAAACCCCATCTCTACTAAAAATACAAAAATTAGCCGGGCATGGTGTCTTGGCACCTGTAATCTCGGCACTTTGGGAGGCCAAGGTGGGTGGATCATGAGGTCAGGAGTTCGAGACCAGCCTGAGCAACATGGGGAAATCCCATCTCTACTAAAAATACAAAAATTAGC